CTGAATTTAATGTTAAATTCTGAAAGTGTTTTTTCACCTCACACTTTATGCTCCTAGCATCCAAAACATATATACTTAAAACAGGAGCACCACACTATCTTGGCATCTAGTCCTTCAGGATTTCCTGTCATGGAATTTCTTGCAGTTTTGCCCAAAGTATTTAGTACTCACTACTGTCCAGATTATTGAAATTAATACGTCTCTGGTCCAAACTAGTAAATCATGTTTCACTAATTTTTTATCTCTCAAGGAATTAAAGAACAAAGATATCTACAGATTTCTTTCACGAACTCATCTTTACACAAATTGAATAGGCAGCTCTATTTCAGCAGTAATTCAGAAAATAATTTCATGTTGAAAAGTTACGTTAGTTATTTTCTCCAGATTCTCCTAAAATAATAATACTAATGCATAATATTTTAATTTAGCAAGCTTGTAAAATAGATTGTGATGTATAGATGCATGTACCATTTTAATTGCTAAAAGGAAGCATAAACAACCAAGAATATGACTAGCAAATTAATTACATAAGAAAAATAAGTAATAAGAGCATGAACTGGTTCTCCTTTATTATAAAACTTTTAATCACAAATTAGCACTAAGGGCAGTATACTGAAGCATACATTTCTGAACTCCCCCCAGTTCTATAAATTATTTATTTTTAATAGAGTTGTTTACTTTTGACCTCTATCTTTTCCATTTTTACCTCCTTCTGGATTCTTTGACTTTTCTTTTTTAGACTCCACCTCTTCATCTTCTCTCAAAAAACACAGCATGGCCTCTCAAGACATTATATTTGTTTCACATCTCTTGGATTATTTGCATCCAACAAGCCCTCAAACAGCAGCTTCACAGAGCCCATCTGTTCAGAAATGGTCACTTCAAAGGAAGATCTTAGGCTGTCAAATATTCTGCCCAGACTTACTAAAGCCAAAGTGCTACCTTATTATTGCTATTCCTGATCAGATCATACTAGCTACTTTTTCGGCATTAATCACTGCATAGAAGGCAATCATGCCCCCTTGTTTAGGCTACTAAAGCTAGATTCTTTTTGATTCTTGCCTCCAGACAACATTTTAAGTTGGGCATTTCTGCACATCACCCCCTGAGGTTCCAACTTCTTTGACCACACCGTTAAAAGCCATTCTCTAATGGTTTCATATCTTTAATACTGCAGTCTCTTCCTCTCTGCACAGTGCTTTTTATCTTAGGGGTTTTTTGGTGGGTTTGTGTGGGGTTTGTTGGGTGAGGGGTTTTTGTTAAGTAATTATGCAAATACACTCATGAAAAAATTAAAACAAAATATCAAGATATTAAGTGATCTATCCAAAGATCCCACACAAGGCTGCAAATGCATGCCATTAGTTTTATGTGACATTATACACACAGTAAGATATTTAAAAACATCAACTTATTAATTCTATTTCTACAGAGAAAATCCTTGAGGAAATGACTTGATGTAGGATCTACATATGGAGGTTCTTTGGAAACAGGAAAAACCTATGTAAATAGTGAACATACGATAAGTCTGTCTTACTGCTTGTGCCTCTTCATCATTAAAACAAATCACGCACACGTGATACAACAGATGCTTCCTGAGGCAGATAGCCTCCCACAAGGCATGACTAAAGCCTCACTTAGTAACACGTTCTGGCTTTAACTTACCTTTTTACAGCCTACCTCTTTAAACCAGTTTAAACAATTGCAATCTTTTGTATGTTAATAATAAAGCAATAATAGTAGGAGCTAGATTTGATAGAGAAATTCATATTAGCCTGCCCTAACGGTAAGTATAGTCTTTTTCCACATCCTTCCTTTTTTCTCTTCTCTGCTGTACTATACTCTCTGGCTTTCACATGGTGATGGCCTATTGTACAGAAATTAGTAACTGCACAGTAAAGCATATTCCACTTTAAAGTATGACACAAAATTTATTATCCAAATAATTTTTGTTTTCTTCAAGTTACACTTCTTGTTTTGAAGTACATAATTCTACATTGGAAATTTAGGACAAGTATTAGACAGTTATCTGAATCTTGAATGAAAAAAAAAATCAAACATATGAGTAGCTATGACAAGAGTTCTTTTTTCCAAGTATTTTGTAATAACTAGAATTAGAAAAGTATATTCTAGTGAATTTTAAAGTTTAAGTTTTTTTCATTTTTACAAACTTCTTAAATTATACCTTGTAGTCTAAACTAGGTAACAAACCAAAGAATAAGGAAAAAATATCTAACCAGCCCACGCTCAAACTAGGGCCCCTCTATCTTCCTTAGAAGACATCAACAAATCCCTCAAGTGTTTCAATGACTAATAAATCCCATGCTAAAAATTAGATCAAGTTTCCCCCCGTCAATTTCATCAAGGTCAAATACAAGCTTCTTTCCAGTCCACACAAGGTAGAGACAAAAGGCTTCCAGTATCAGACAATTTTTAAGGAAACAAAAAGTTTCTTATATATGAAGTTCAAATTTTCTTATATCCTAGAGAAATTCTCTCTCTACAGAATGATTTTATGTGATACTTCACTTTACAGAGGAAAAACAAACTACAGCATGAAACAGGGCATGAGGAACATTAGGAAAAATAACAGTGTGCAGATAAAGTGTCTGGAATCACTGTTGGGCGTTCTCAACTGGATTAGCAAATTAAAATAGTTAAAATAAATAGTTCAACATCTTTAGCTCTTGTTACCTTCCCCTCTCAAAATAACTTATTTACAAGAACTTCCTTCCTTAGCGTAAATATACACTTGTAATTTGTAACACTGTTTAGTCCTGGTAAAAGAGCAGAAAGTTATTGTACATTGTTGCATTTTTCCTGCCAAATAAAAAGTCCATGAATATCTAATCAACATACTCAATACACTGCTCTTCCAGGAGTCTTGCAAGCAAAAACCGTGCAGCATGAAACAGGAAATCCATTACCCTGCTGTTAAGTAAAATCCCTGTATTTCATGCAAGTTTTACTTCTAATAAAGTTTTTTTTTTTTAATTACCAGTCCTCACTCTTAATCAGAAGAAGCAGCATTACCCACTGTGACAGAAAGGGAAAAAAAAAAATCTCATTTTGAAATAGTGTATTAGAACATATTTAGTTTATATTCAGACCTACTGTAATCAGCTAACTACATAACTATGTTGTTAAAATGTCAGATCTTTTAAGATTATGGTAAAGATCCAGCAAGAGCATGACAACAAGAACATACAGGTTACTAGTTGAACTTGCAATTAAATTCTGTTTCTCATTCATTTTCGGTTTGCTTTTAAAGTCTTAGAAGAAAGCATTCTATGCAAACATATATTCATCACTGATTTGCGTGGAAACTATATGTACAAAAAAGTTAATTTAGGGGGGTTTTTTAATGACATATTTCTTCAGTAATTAAAAGTGAGCTAGCAGAAAAAGGGCTACATTTCAGTCATTTTATGCACAGTAAGTAGCTTGAATATAGAGTTTCACTCATCTCTCATTACCCCAGCTATAACAGCACTCTTCATGAACTGCTCTAATTTCAGTCATTTTAACAGGTTTTAAGAGTAGCTTCTGTTGCTTGGATTTATCTCAACATTCCTCTGGAACAGGAACAAATTCAAGGGCAGATATAAAGATGGTCCAGACAGATCTTTTGAATACTAATAAAAAGTTTCAATGTATAAATATTTCAGTATTTTCTTTTAAATTTCTTAACTTCCATGTATAACAAATGGAGTACAAGTCAAGAGAATCACACAATGCTGAGAAGTTCCTCAGAAAGCTCACACTCTATCACTAATGTTTCAGTTTGCAGACAGGATTGTGCCTGTCCCGAATATTAACGACAATAACCAAACATTCTGCAATAACAGAGCTAGACTATTTCCAGTGCCTGAACTACCTCACTATGACACTCGCTAAGTTGCAGAGCAGATTTTTTCCCTCCAAAGGTAAAAAGTACGTTATTTTATTCTGGATCATTCTCTCCATTGTACTGTATTCCTTCAGAAAACTTGTATCAAGCAAGCATCAATCACTGTTGATGTTGTCTGTACATGGAAAAGCAGCATCACATCAAACTTGAAAATGACAATTCACAACTTAACTCACTCAGGAAGAACAATCTCCCTTGAGATGTTACCAGAAAGGGAAGAGAAATCAGGGCTAGATTCTTCTCCCACTCACCACCAGAACCACATGGCACTACCCTCATTTTTAGGGGACAGGAGATGAGGGGACATCTTCACTCCCCTTCCTTTCTCAAGCCTGTACCTGACAACTGCCAGAAAGCAGAACTAAGAACAATGAAACTATATGGATATTTCTATTCCTACCCAGTAATTTTGAGAATCCTGATGGTAAAGTGCAAGGGCAAGTCCTCTGCCAGGCCCACCAGGAGCCTGCCTACCAAACTCATTTATTCAAGCACAATCACAAAAAAATTTCAGGCAGGTCTGAATAACCTTCCTTAGTTCATAGAACTTAATCTACTATTAACTTACAGCAGGAAGCGCTTACTACTTGCTGTAAAATGTAAGCAAAAACACATAAGAAAGCTTTCTAGACTGCTGCCTGTAACAGATACTGTTGGGCACCACGAAGCACCTGGAACAGACCTAAGGTAAACAGGAAAGCCCAGTGATGCCTTAAGCGAGAAAACCTTAGAGCAAAGAAAGTAAAATACCAGGTGACAGATCACATCAACTCTTAGTTGCCTCATTGCACACTAAACCAACACCATTTGCCTACCTGTTACATTAATCACACAAATAACAGCTTTTTTACATAGTTGCATAAAAATTTCCTTTAGGCTACAACAATGGACAATATTCCATTTCAGACAATTCTAGAAATTACACTTTTCTTCTACATTTGGCTGTGGAAAGGGCTGAATTAAGAACCACAGCAATGACTACTCAAGTGCTGCAACATAAACAGCAGATATATAAAACAGGGGGGGTATAGCGGGGCGCACGGTGAAGACAGACCTCATGTATGCACAAGTGAAGGCTTTTTACTCCTACCTCATCACTTTCATCTACTTCAATACCACCGTCTTTGTCATCATCCATTTGCTTATGGATCATCCGGAGAGCTTCTAGGCTGAACCGGTCCTCCTCTGTAAAGCACGGTGGGCTGAGTGAACTGCAGGGATCTAAAGTGGGAAGGTGAACAAAACAAAAACATTAGCTACTGTCACTCTAGAACATAAAGCTCCCAAGCAAGAGAAAAGGCTTAAATTTCTGTATGTGTACATGTACTTCACTGCATATAGCCACCAGGTCATAGATGTCAAATTCAGCTGTAAAATAATAATTCTTACCAAAAAAAGTGAAGGGGAGGGGAGTTAGACATCAACTCTTTTATCCAGGAAGGAAGCCCAAAGAATAAGCTGGAATAGTTTGACTCTTGGATTATTTTTTTCCACCCCTGTACCTGCTGTCTCCACCTCTTCGTTATAGCTGTCATTCACCCTTAGTAATATATCACAGAAATTGCAAATAAAGTCACTGTGTTTTCCAACCTCCTTTCTGAAAGCCTGGGCTAAACAGAAAGTGATAGAGGAAGAGAAAAAGAACTATCATCTACAGTCATAGCTACATAAACAGATAAGAAAGGGACAGCAATCACACTGCAGATCAAATTCAGAGTAGATAGTACTACCAAATGCAAAATATTCAAGGAGGACTACAAGAGAAGAAAGCACACCACAAAGAAAATTCAACTTATAATAATACATGGTATCTCAGTCCTGTATGTTCTGATCAAAAACAGCAGAGTCGCTGTTGAGCAGGATTCCAGGTCAAAAATAGTATGTTTTCATTTGCATTCATTGCTAAAGGCTCATGATTTGTGCGCATCTGATGGCTCTGCTGCCACCATGTCAGACAGTTATATCTCTGCTCTTTGCCTTCTACAAGGCACATGCCAAATGCTCCAAAATTCTACAATGCATGATGATTAACCATCACTAAAGACGGGTCTTTCACAGACCTTGGCATTAACTAACAGCTAGCTATTTCATTAATTCTGATGTACTGAATACCATCAAAGAACAGAAGGTGGAGAAGGATTTTTTGAAAGTTCAGCTTTAATAAGACAGTGAATTTCCATTGTATTAGCCATTATAAAAATGCACTGACTAGTCCCATAAACTGGTACACTCCACTTTAATCATATCAATGCAAATTGAGTCAGCATATGAGTAATTTTTGCTTCTACTTGTCTACCAAAGGATTAAGCTTTCATGTTACTATAGAATTTATTAGAGGCTCATTTATATCAGTAATGAAAAAGGAAGCACATACAGAAACAGATAGGATCAAGAATTTGAACAGAAAAATAAATTTATTGTGTTCGTATTTCCATACAAATTGAGTTGGCATGATTCTGCTCTTCTGTCTTTATTATAAATTAAAAAAAGAAAAAAGATGCTGATAAGACTCAGCTTGCATAAGGCTACAACGCAGAAGTACGAAGGTAGCAACCATGGCATAGCTGGAACATCAGAAACATTAACAGGAATCATCCCTGCAGCTAGGCATGAGTCAATGCGTTCTTACATATACACCAGTTTTATTATACAGAAGTTAACAGTTACCTGTTATCTGTGCCCATGTATCAATGAAACATACAAACACATAAAAAACCCACAGAAACACACAAAAAACCCACACGCTCCTCACTGACACTGCCCCAGAACAGAGAAATGTTGGTTTTAGAACTACTTCGTATAAAACAGAGACAAATTACTAAACATTATACCATGCCAACCACAAACAGTTTTCAGGTTTGGAATGCAACTAATATTTCTTGAAAAAAGTGAAACTGAGTAATTTTTTTTTTAACATTTAAAAAATCCATTTTATTTGTTCATCTTTGTTTCATTGGAAAGGTTTAATTTGCACAATACGTAGGCTTTAGATTTTTGCCTTGTGATGAAAAAATTACTATCATTGTGGGGGGTTAAGGACTTATCCCTATACTACAGAGTGCTTGGTGTAAAAAGGCTTCCCTTGCAATAGTAATGGATGACTTCTCAAAGTTCTGCTAGTAATTAAATTCCAATAGCCAGGAACAAAGAATATAACATTACTTAAATGCAATCATGTATCAGAAGAACCATCTTTGTACTGCAAGATTAGATCTAGACTGTTTTCAGTTAGAACACGTAATTGTCAGAACAGATAAACAGGTCCCTCAAACACACCCAATTTGTTTAATTTGTACTTAGTTCTATTCTTACATAGAAGAAACATCAGTGTTCCCAGTTTGCAAAAGCACCCACTCAAATGTTCTTCCATTTTGTTCAGCTGAAAGCCCAGCTTTTCAAATCAAAAAGGTTTTCTCAGAGTACGTTTTCTCAAAACTGAGGTTGGTCAGTTTTTTAATCAGAGTACTTATCTTAAGTATGCCTTTTTTTTGGTTATTTAAGCATGAAGGCACTTTAAAGAGCTATGGCTCTTCTGGAGAGAAGTAAACAAGCTGCTTATGCTTCAAATGTCCCATGCGCTGGCTCCAGGAATACTTTATCTCTCTCAAGAAACGATAGAGTTCCAATTGCTCCTTTTGGGACCAAGAAATATGGAGTAGAACCATCTCAACTGCAATAAAAAAACAACCCACTCTAAACAGCATCCAGATTTACCTTCAAGCTTATTTACACAGGGCAAAATCAAATGTTCCCAGACTGACTTGTCACCCCTCTCTTCAGAGAACAATCTCAAAACAAAAACAAATTACAAAGCCACAACCTAAAGAATAAGTGAAAAGCATTTTGCAAGCATATTTACAAAACCCTGCCAAATCCAAAAAACAGCTGATGGAAATCTAATCATCTGCATCTGTGCAGAAGATTCTAAAACACAGTATTTTGCCTCACCTGCATGGCAGAAACAATACAAATTAATACTAGATGAGATATGGGTAGAAACTTCTCAAACATCCAGTTAATTAAGATAAAAGCCAAGAGGAAAAGTCTCAAGATACAAGAAGTACCATAAATATAGGCCTGAGGCCCTGCAACAAATTATAAGACCAGTTGATCCACCCTATTGAGGTGTTCTGGGATTCCAAACCTTCTCTTGTACTTTAAGGACAAGCTTAACTCCATGTCTGGACCAATTTCTTTGTTCTAGTCTGGTGTGTTGTCATAAATACACTTCATCTAAAATCATCATCAGAGGAAAGAGCACAGAGATGATACCAAGAAGTTCACTCAGGGAGTGAACCTGATAACTTAGAATTTGACCTTTCCTTTAGCAAACAGTGCAGAAGAATTAACAAAGCAAACAAAAGAGATACAGGTTAGATGAGGTGGACAAGAGGCATACAAGCACACCATATGTCACTCTAGGCAGGAGTTATTTTACAGCCCAATTTTTAAATGTTCATCAGAAGTGAGGAAGTTTCAGAACTCATAGTCATGTTAAAGAGTTAAATTTATTACCGAAAAATTAAATGTTGAATTTATGGCTCAACAAACTTGGCAGAGGCATTTGAACCAAACTTTCCTCCTGCCTCAAGTATCTCAGTTACTGCCTCCTAGCTCTGAGATGCGAGGAGAAAGTAGCCTTCACCAGCCCAGGGAGCTGCGCAAAGCCATGGGTACAGACCAGTCCTATAGGAGAGAGTTTAATAATGAACCCAGTACAAAGTAGCTATCCAACAGGGTATCCAGGAAACTTTGTATTTACAGATAAGGGAAAAGTAGCACTAGTGCCTTTTTTTTTTCCCCTCCTTCCTTTTCCCTTTGTCAATGAGGCTAAAATAAGGCGAGACTATGAGAAAAACTTCAGTTAGAAATTCCCCTAAACTTTAGAATCATCGCTTTTTCATCCCATTTCCTGAAGGCAACAGGAGTTAAACTTACAAAGTGACACTGTCAACACAAGCCAGTAAGGAAAATTTATTACACCTCTATCTTCAAGCATTCGTGTCAGCAAAGCCCTTGAAATTTATTTTAGGGATACACCATTAGAAATGGTTCCAAAGCAAAAGGCTATATACACTTCGCAGTCTTTCAGCTATTCTGCATTTATTTTTTCCTAACGTGTTGTGAACATAACAGACTTTAGAATGAAAAAGACTGACAGACGAACAAATAGCTAATAACCCTGCAGTGATCTCACACACACGCCCTTTTGCATGTGGATGCTTGAGCTTAAAAGCTACAGCTGTGCCAACGCCTGTGACAGAGGGACCTTAGCCAGGCATTTGTAGCTGCAATCTGGCCTCCAAAGCGCCTGAGTCCTTCAGTCTTTTCCGTGCCTCAAAGAGCCTTTTTAAGAATACAGGGACACACGAAACCTTTATGTTTTTCAGAAGGTACCTGGAACCAGATACACACCTCCAAATTTAAAATTTAAATGCCTTTAAATTTTCCCATTAGTTGACTGAGAGCAACTTCGCAGTTGGGAGTTATTTGCAGAGATTGGCTACTACAGATCATTTTTGTTCTGTGAGGATGTTCAGCATTCATGGAGAAGGAAGAGCACTTTTTTTACACTAACATATGGCAGTCCTATAGAAGCCCGCAGTGTTTCCATGACTGCCTTTTTGTGATGAATTCAGGAGTGTACCATGTTCTGCTAGTTTTATGATTCCTCGTTCCTAAGAAGACATCTGGGATAAAGGGAAGCCTCACAGAAAAGGCAAGCACTATACACAAGTGTCAGCTTCCTAAGTACGTACTCTCAGCTTAAAATAACTATGTTTCAGCAAGCCATGATGACAGAAGTAGGATTTCTTTGCGTTTTCCAGAGCCAAAGCAGCTGGCCACAATATCCCCAAACTCCCATCAAATGCATCTTCATCTAACTCGGATTTCTATTTCCTTACATTTCTTCTGTGCTTTAGCTCTATGCTGTATTTTAATACATTACAGTTTCTTTATCAATTCAATATGATTCTTTTCAAGGCAACAAGAACTTAAAGACAACAAGACCTGAGTACAAAGCTGAGCGTCAGGTACCAGACAGATTATTGAAATTATCGGAAAGTAAGTGTTTTCAAGAATCACTTGATCACCACACATCACCAGTTGTTCAAAACAGCTATTCGCAGTAAAGGCAACAAACATGTTGCTTTTATCTTAAATCCTTACATAAGATGTCATTAAAATCTTCAAATGCTTGAAGAGACAGCCTCAG